GATGGTAGAACAAAAATCAATTCATTCAATATTGATGTGTATATATTTTCAGATGACAGCCGAGTTTCAGGTCCCGTCTCCTCTGGTCCCGACTCGCGAGAACTACTTTGTCCGATACTGCAAACACCACTCGGACGGGAGTTGGGCAGTTGTCGATGTCTCGTTAGAGAATCTCCGACCCAACTCTGTATCCAGATGTCGCCGTCGGCCTTCCGGTTGTCTCATTCAAGAGCTTCCTAACGGTTACTCAAAGGTATACATAAAAGCCAAATATTATCTCAAATTACAAAGGCATTAATCACATATATATATTGTCGATGGGCCAGGTCACGTGGGTGGAGCACGTGGAAATAGACGATCGAGCCGTGCACACCATATACAAAGCGCTGGTCAACTCGGGCCTAGCCTTTGGGGCCCGCCGATGGGTTTCCACTCTCGACCGGCAATGCGAACGACTCGCGAGCCTAATGGCCAACAACATTGCAGCAGGGGATGTCGGTGGTAATTAACTATTATTACATCATAGTACATAATTTTTTTTTCTTTAAAAAAAATATTACTATTATTACGTCGAAATTGTGCAGTTATATCGTCCCCGGAGGGTAGGAAGAGCATGCTGAAGCTGGCGGAGAGGATGGTGATGAGCTTCTGCACGGGCGTTGGGGCATCGACAGCTCACACGTGGACGACACTTTCCGGGAGTGGTGCGGACGATGTTCGGGTGATGACTAGGAAGAGCATGGACGATCCAGGCAGGCCACCCGGGATTGTGCTAAGTGCTGCAACCTCGTTCTGGCTTCCGGTCCCACCTAAGAGGGTGTTCGACTTCCTTAGGGACGAGCACTCGCGAAGCGAGGTATTTTTAATTTTTAATTATTTTTTTAATTCGTTTCCGAGTAAATCAATTTATCGAAATATATTTTTTTTTTTTGGCAGTGGGATATTCTGTCGAACGGCGGCCTTGTTCAAGAAATGGCACACATTGCCAACGGACGTGATCCGGGGAACTCCGTCTCTTTGCTGCGTGTCAATGTATGAATTTTTTTTTTCTTCGTAAATATTTCGATCGAAAACATAACGAAACTCTAAAAATTATAATACAGAGCGCGAACTCGAGTCAGAGCAATATGCTGATATTGCAAGAGAGCAGCACGGACTCGACCGGTTCGTATGTCATTTATGCTCCAGTTGATATCGTGGCTATGAATGTTGTCTTGAGTGGTGGAGACCCGGATTACGTGGCCCTTTTGCCGTCGGGCTTTGCTATACTTCCTGACGGGCCCACTAACCCGGTGGGCCCGGTTCCTGATGTTGGGTCGGGCGGGTCATTGCTGACTGTTGCGTTTCAAATACTGGTCGACTCTGTTCCTACGGCCAAGCTTTCTTTGGGTTCGGTGGCGACTGTGAATAGCCTCATCAAATGCACGGTCGAGCGGATCAAAGGTGCCGTCTTGTGTGAAGGTTCTTGACCCGAAAAACTCTTGGTAAGCTCAACTTTCCAAATTTAGTACTATAAATTAATTTTCTTCGACTATTTTTAGAAATCGTGTCTCGTTTTTTTGTATTTGATATTGTAGGGGCCGATAGAAGGATGTTTACGGTAGGATCGTGAAAGAAAGGGGAGAAGTCAAGAACGCACCTTGCGTGTGTCCTTGCTTTGTGGTGTTTATCGACAGATATTCACCACAAGGCAAGGGTAATGGGTTCGGGTATTGACTCTACCCACATTTGTAGTAAGGACCAAGTAAACAAAAGACCTTATTTTGTCAGAATTGTAATGGGACAAACCTATGTATGTTTTGGTTTTGCACAAGGTTCAGTGTCATGTGTTGTGTTGGTTAGCATTAATTTGCTCCTTTTGTCATTAGGAAGATGTTTAGCATTACAGTGATTTGTAGACTGATAACTATGGATCCTCAAGCTCTTTTCTAATCAATTAATGGTGTTCTGTTTTGATGCTTTTTAGTGTTTACTTACGAAGTTCTATGATCCTTGGGTGACTTTAATTGTTTTTTGGTCTACTAAAATCCATTGTGCAATACATATGACTAGTGAACATATATCTAGGAGATGAGTTGAGGTTTTGCATTTTTGAAGGTTATATTTAAAAATTATCTCATGAGCTTCAAGACAACATTGTATAACTTCAGATATTGTGTGAACCAAAGCTCCAATTCGACCTATTCTACATGCTATGAACGGTCTTAATTTTTCCGGATTCAATTCTATCTCCTCCGATAATGGTTATATGAAAAGGGTTAGGACTCCGACGATCAAAGTGAGTAATGTACAAATTTCAATATTCGTTCTTAGAGTAGACGAGAACTCATAAGAAGTCGGTGGCCACTCAATTCATAATGTTTTTCATATCCTAAAAGACCAACACTACAAAAAAAATGTTATATTACAACGGAAAGTTCTACGATAATACATTCCAACGGAAATTCCAATTATTATTTCAATAGTATAGCTTCCATTGGAATCATTCCAACGGAAATTCCAACGAAAATATTACGATGGAATGAGTTTTTCATTAGAATTTTAGATGAAATTGATGACTCCAACGGCTATTTTTCAACGGTTTTTTACCGTAAGAATTTCCGTTGGAATATGTATTTTTTGTTGGAATTGTTATTTTCACCTCCGTTGTAAAATCTACCGTTGGAATCTTCAGAATCCAACGGAAATTCCAATTGAAAACTCATTCCAACTTAATATTTTAGTTGGAATTTCCGTTGGAATTCCACTAAAATATATTTGTATTAGAACTTTCCGTTGAAATTTGATCATTTTGTTGCAGTGCAAAGACTTGCATATTTGTAATCAAAGATTTCAAATCCTAATCATTAACTAATTACGAAATAGTCTATTATATTATCATGCAATGTGCGTAATTCGGGAAAATTTCAATATTAGTCCCACATGTATAGGGTGACAAATTTATCCCGACGGAATAGCGAAAATTAAAATAGTCCCACAACTTTCAAAAATTAATCAAAAATAGGATTTTTGATACCGAATTTATGATTTCTGGCTCGAAAAGTCCCGTTGCGCAAATGTAACATTTTTTTCATGACACGTTGGCGATGGTTGCATGTTTTGTAGGTAGTTTGGTGCGAAAAATCGCGTGGTGTACTTGGAAACTCGCCAAGTTCGCAAGTTTTGCGTGGGATGCACGGGCCCTAGCGGGCATGCGCATGCACTGAGGCGCTAGGCAACAAGCGTCGCGCTGGCATGCAAAGCGACAGCATGCGGGCGTTGCTTGGTCGTCAGTGGGGCGTGCGCGCGGGGTTCTAAATCTGTACTGGGGCCGGGGTTCTATCCGTGTGGGAAATCCTCTCTGGGTATCGGGTTCGTCGAGTGTTGCGGATTGTTTTGCCGATTGGTGGGGAAGCTGTTATTATAGTATTGCTAGTGTTTAAGTGTTTTGTGTTTGTGATTTGAGTAGTTTTCTTAGTTTGTTAGACATAGCCAAAACACGGGCCCGACTAAGACCGACGGGTCGACAGGCTCGGAATAATGGACCCGTAACCGACACAGACCTAGGTCGTGCCGGGTCAATGGCCCGACAGGCCTGGCCGGGCAGAACCTGGGCCCGTCGTCAATGGCCTTGACCTGGCCGGCGGGTCGAGTGGCCCGTGATCACCTCTAATTCTTCACTTGCGGGTGTTGTATAGTTAGTTGTACTGTGGGTGGGTTTAGCATAGTTTGATCTAGGCTACCATTTAGTAGTTCTCCCACTAAATTTAGCTAGATATCTGCTTGACTATTTNATTCCTCCAAATTTTATGCACAATATAATTTTGATAAATATTTTTTTGAGATAAAATTATAAAATATGTCCAGTAATTTTTGGATCTTACCAAAACAATAATAATATTAAAAACTCAAAAAATATACTCAAAGTAATTGAATTAAATCACATTATACCAACGAGTTGTTGCCATTACTAACTGCTCAATGTGCGACAGTGTTCTGATTTTGCATTACCCTCAGCAGGCCTCAGGTGACCCCATAAATCTCTTAAATATGTGTTTCACATTTTTCAGTCTATACATGGGCCGGGCCATTAACGAGCTGTCATAACAGAGCCCATTAAAAGTCGGGCTGACACAATGAGCCACAATTATTTATTTCGTTCCAACTGTTTTTGGTTTAAGTTTAATTAATTGAAAAAATGACCTAGTAAACATTCCAACATATTTATATACAACTTATATATACTACTACTAATTAGCAAAATTAGCAAAAATGACTTTTTTATTAATTGATGCAGATTAAATATGCCAATGGATGATTTGCCAAAATAGGGAAAGACATGTCAGCACCCACATCAATAAAAATTTAAGTATTGTAATTATTATTAATGTTATAAGACCCAGTCTCTTCGCCCACCAATTGAACAGTTGGGTTTCATATAAATTATGTACATAAACTAAAATTAATTTTCACTATATTATTTTCTATATTACCCGAAAAATTACATCACGCGTTAAATAAGAATTAATCACTGCAGTTTGTTTATCACATAAAAAAAAATAATTAATCAGTATTAATTAACAACGTTTACATTATACACTTGTGACGTCTAGATTTTATGCATGAATTTGATTACACATTCTTAACCTCGCAGAAACATTAATAATGTAATAAATTGAGCAAACAACAAATTAATAGCATGCCCAGGATCCGTACTGTTGCTGCTATAGCTCTCAGCACTCATTTATTTAAGAGATACACATAGATTCATATAATTAAAACATGTTATGTCATCATATCTTATATGGCTTAAATCAAGACGTATTAAATTTTTCTATGGACCCAGAAATTAAAGTTCCTTTCTTTCTTGCAGCAACGTACGTATCTAATTTTTTTGGAAGAGTTTTTTGTGTTTTGTACCGTCCAAATCCGTGTACAGTGACTATGAAAAGGGAATCACGATGTTACATACTAGATTTTATACCCTTACAGTTATATTCTACTGTTATGCGGATTCATACATGCATGGGTACAATTGTGATAGGGGAAAATTATAATTTTATACCCTTCAATTATCGATCCACGTGTCAAATCGAATTTCTTAACCTTATTTATCGAACTTTCTTTTTGGTTTCGTCGTAAGATGCTATCTTTCTATCAATGGTGTCGTCGAAGGTCCTAGAAATTCTCAAATCATATCCTTTGTTTGTCAGCATAAAGTCGGAAATTCGAACGTTGGAACTTTTCAAACATAACATTTTTATAATTATTTTTTATTGTTTTTTCTAGGATTTTAAATGATGTATATATATATATATTTGAATCGATCGAACGTTAAAAAAATTGAAATTTCACATTGAATTTTCATCTTACCGTCAATGCGTAAATTCGTATTCGACTTTAACAGCCAATTTATGGTCAACCTGTTTCAAAGTCACTAAATAACCTCTCAGATTTGTTCGTACTCTCGTTGTCTACAAATTCCTATGTTTATTGTGGATTTTATAGTTGTAACCAACGAACAAATTCTTTTAAAATTTCAACCGTTTTTTTAAATAAATTTGACATAAAATTAGAAGTTACTATAACAAATTACGACTTTTTGAAAATAACATGTATTAAAATTCTACAAGATGAACTCAATGATGGAGGCAATAATTTGGGGGAAAAAAATATTTTAAACTCGAATCCTAATGCATCATCATGAATTCATGTCATTCTTTTATCCAATGAAATGAAGATGAATTATAATACAATTTTAGAATAGAAGATTTTATAAAAGTTTAGTATTAGGTATTTAGGTTGCATGTGCAAAACTCAAATTGATAGTTGTAATGTCAATCGACTTCTATTTTTAGAAGGTAACCAAACATTTATTTGAGAGTGAGCTAAATTTAAAGGTGTACTCTCAAATTATAAATTGAGGTGGATCTGAAGATACCATCCGACACAGTGAAAACATAAATACAGTTAAAATGATCTTATCCCTTATGACTTGAATTCAAGTTTTTTGCAAAAGATCAGAAAATCTCAGTACAATTATTGTCCTCTCCTTAGCCAGGACTAATATTTAAGACTCGAATAATGTCATTGAACTATTCTGCCTGTCGTCATTATCAAGAAACACACCATCCTTTCCAGGGGGGGTGTGGGTTAATTTGAGGCCTAGTGATGGTTTGCGATTATCAGCGAAGAGACGTCCGGTTAGTCCGTCGGGTCGGCGACAACCCGCGGCAACCATACCAAGACCTAACTTCACAAGCTCGCCTCACTTTTTGGCGCCAAAAACCTGTCAGCCCGGCCAGGCTTCTATGGCTAGCCCGGATCCGTCTCAGACCCCCATCTCCCGCTTCCCATTAGTCTTAAGGGCACTTGGACTGACTTTGCTTTCCTTTTTCCCGGCCTCATTGATTTTGGACCAAAGGACTCGTAATCCCTTGCCCTAAAATAAAAGGGCTGGCTTCCCGAAACCATGACTTGGAAACCTGGCCTTTTTCCCGATCTCTGAAAACAACTACGCCTGCAAACGAGTCGAGCAGCCCGCAAGCTGCTCGAGTCAAAGTTCGACTCGAGCTCGAGTTTGACCAAACTCGAGTCGAGTTCGAACTTATATTTTGCATTGTCAAGCGGCTCGCGAGCAGCTCGAGATATATAAAATTACTAAAATACTCGTTTTAGATATATGTACTTAATGGTTAATTCACAAAATTGCTTGAATAAATTCGAACCGAACTCGAGCCAAGCTCGAGCATTTTGAATTCGAGTCGAGCTCGAGCTCTTGTATTTTTTTATCAAGTCGAGCTTGAGCCTAAAAAATCGAGCTCGAACAGCTCAAAAAATAATTCAATCCTACTCAATAAGGTCAATGCTCGACTCGGCTCGGCTCGGCTCGTTTGCAGTCCTAGGTACAACTAAAAAAATAAAATTCGAGAATTTTTAAAAGGGGTAAAAATCTTGATGTAATTTTTAGGAAAATA